GAACAGAAGAAACAAGATGGGAGCCATTCATGGGAAAGGGCGGTTCAAATGCCAAGGATGTCAGAAACCATTTTCTTGGCGGTTAGATCTGGCAGAACATACCAAGACCTGTAAAGGCAGCAGCTCGAGGTATGTAAATGGTTCTACTTCTCTAGATGTTCATTAAAAAATACATGTTTGTTTATGAAATTGTTTTACAGTAAGATAAGGTACTTGACTGATAAGTTCAATCATTATCAAAGTTGTGGTGATTCTTTTTCATACATAATCCTTTCCAAAGAATGTCAGACATGACTTATATTACTTCTAAAGCAGGAAGGCATGGGATGCTCAGGCTGAACAGTTCCTCCTTGAGACGTGCTTCCTCTGTGGCTGCCAGCTGTCGGGGATACAGTCTGAAGAGGCTTCCTTCATCAGGGGAAAACAAAAGCTTTACCATTCCAAAAAGCCTTTGATTGAGGTAAGAATACTGGAGTTCTTGTAACACACATAAAGAGCAGTATAGAAGCCTTACATTCAGACCACATTGACCAAATAAGTCAGAGTTCTAGCAATACTCATGATCAGCTAATAAGATGAATAATGCAGGGGATGAATTTTATTAACTCTCATTTGTATGATAATGTCAAGATGTCAAAATTGTATGTAGATATGCCCAGGTTAGGTAAAAGTGAATTTTGTGATGAAAAACGGGTTTTATTTCGTGGATGGATAGACATGTGTATGTAGATATATTTTTTGCTTTTATGAATAGTATGTAAATCTGTATTTAGATTACATAGGTAGATGAGTTTGTAAATCTGTTTTTTGCTTTTATGAATACTATGTATATATTTAATTTTTGCTTTTGTTAAGAGTATATATATATATTTTTAACTTTTATGAATATTATTTATATATTTTTAGCTTTCATAAATAGTATACGAATATATCCTTAGCTTTTTGAAATAGTATGAAAGACCTAATTCATTTCAGGTTCTAGAGATGATTACCCATGATTCTGCAGTATCGTCTCTTACTCATCACACCATCGGTCTCTGTAAAATCTGCATGAATTCTGTGAACAGATGGGACGAAACTCAGCAGCAACTTCAGACCATTGCAAAGTCACTACGTAGTTCATACAGGTAATGTTTTTATAGTCTTAATATAGCAATTTCCTCTTCTTCTTTTTACTTTTTTATTTCAGTATCATTTCATGCTTTCATCTTACTTTCTGTTAAATAGGCAAAGATTATTGTCTTTTAGTGTTAGTATGTAAAGGAGAAGGATATGTGTTGATATATAGATAATATCTTTTTTATAGATCCGGAGATATTAATTCATGCGAAGGCTAAATTCCCATCTTCGCTGAATATTTGAGGGAAGACATTTGTTAATAAAAGATCTAAATTTCCGCAGAGCTATACAAAGGAAACCTGGAATGAAGACATATAGGAGGAAGACCATCTCAGAAAAAAGAGAAATAGAGGAACTGATTGATGAAGGTGAGAGTGAATGTAATGAAGAGGATGAGGGCAACGAGGAGAGCGAAAGCAAAGGTCTGACGGAACAGATAAAACAGGAAAAGCAGACAGATTTTCCTCAGCCGACAGAGAGATTCGATGAGTGTGAGAAGAAGGAATATGTATGCGAATGTGGGAAGGTGAGTTTAATGTAATTTTTGTTTTGTTTATATAAATGTAAGTAAAATTGTAGCAGCTTTTTTAGATTTTTATCCATAAATGAACTGTATAATGGGGAAATGTCATATGATATTGATAGTTATTTCAGTATCTGTTTTCAGGTGTCTTAATTTACATTTGAATGGTGAAGCATTTTCATAGATGGAATAAAGACAGACATTAGAAAAAGGAATTCATATACTATACATTAGATATTATGTAGAAACGAAAATGCTATCAAAGTTATTTTAGATTATTGTTTATATAGTCATCAGTTAACAAGAAAACCCAACCATTCTACTACAGATATTTACCTACAGACTATACGTGGCCTCAACACTTTTGTTGAACATCAACTACGGGAGGGTTGCAAGACAAAAACTAATCAGTATCCCTGCAAATACTGTGGCTTGGTGTTCTCTGAAAAGAAACTGCTGATTGTACACAAGAAGGCCTGCGTTGAGACCTCGCTGATCAATGGTGCACATGAGTGTGACATTTGCGGAAGACGGTACACATTTTTTTTTCTCTTGTTTATTTCCAGTTTGAAAAATTACTGCAATTGGGTATTTTTACTCTAGTGCTTTTTTTCTCATGGTTTTTGCATTTATACTAAAATATATAGTCTATAAGCTATATATTTGGTATCAATTATCCTAATGGCACCAAGTAATTGATTGCACTATCCAATGCAGTTTTATAAGTGAGGCCCAAATGACCTAATTTTCCCATTCCTTGAATTTCTTGAGAGTATATTCTTTTGTAATGCTATTGAGATAGCATTGGAATGACAACCTTTTATGCTTTAAACAGATACGTAAGGATTGCTTCAATATATTTACTCATTTAGACATGATATCTGTTATCACATCATGGGAAAGGCTGTACTACATAACCATATCTTAATATAAAAAAGAATTAATTCAATTTTGTGGTAATAAACAAAAGAAATGTTTAGGATAATATTACACATAATTCTGTTAGGGGCTTGTTAGTAGGTAGACATTAACTCGAGCCATGTGCATTATCTACTGTGATTTTAGCTTATTATTTCCACTTGCACGCACTATAGGAGGCTCTGGAAATACTGATTTTCCAAGGAATTAGCTGATAGACTTACCTGAGCTCACCTGTTTACCCTATTTTAATTTGACTCCTTTGCAATGAAGCACTTGCAAAGCTATCTATGTGTAAACTAGTCAATGAGATTCAAATAGAAAGTACATGCATCTGAAGCTGACAAATTAGTCTTTAACTGAGTGGGTGATTTTTACAGGTTTTTGGTGCGTGGACGTGTAGAAACCCACAAAAGAAATGTTCACAGCATTGGAACGGCTGATCAGCAACTCTGCAGCTATTGCGGAAGAACATTTGGTTCCAGCTATAACATGAAGAACCATTTAGCAAGAGAACATGGGATTGGTCAGATTGAAATGGTGAGTGTGTTTTAAGAATATATATATTTTTTATTCACTCATTTATTGAATTTTTAGTTACTTAAGGGTAGGCAGATTTATTTACCTTGCATTTAGTTGAGTTAAGTACATATATATGCTGAAAAGTTAGTCTTATCAAATTTTATATGAATGAAAATTGGAAAACACAATGAAATTCATAAGTTATCAGGTGATGCTTACTGTACTCATGAAGTTTGTATTTGTATTTTGGGGTTGGCATTGGGGAAAGGAATTTGAGGGGTATGTTTAGCTCCCAAAGACTGCAAACCCAAATTTGGTCTTTATTATTTCAAGAACTCAGTTTTCTGTCTCATGCTGGTTTGTTATGTAGGTACCAAACTGGAGCATCAGTGTTGAAAAAGTTTGTCTATACCATTTTATATGAATGAAAATTGGAAAGCATACAAAAGGAAGCAACTAAAACACATAGAATGCAATAAAATGTACATTCCTCATGATTGATATGGCAATTGATTATTTATATGTATATACAAATTAAAATGTGGAAAAGCAGAATGATGTAGGTGACTGTATGAAGGGAGAGGAAAATGTCCCAGGGGAGAGGGGCAGAGATTGGGATGATGTGTGTAATTCCTGATGGTTTGGAGAGTATAGAGGGAAGGCTGGGAAGCAGAAGCCACCCAGACACAGGAGAAGGGCCAGTGGGATAGAAGGAGGTGTACAGATATTAAAGAAGAGGGATAATTCTGTAGTTTTTCAGGTGGAAAGAAAGTTGTCCATCAGTAGGCTACCAGATGTGTCGAAGAGAGGTTGGAAAAGCAGCATGTTGGGTTTTAGGAGGTTATTCTCTGCTGAGGTTGATTTATTTTTAAGGGAGAAATTGCCAGTATCATAGATTTAAGGAGACTTGGACTTCTGGGGTTAGTTAGCATGTGATTAACTTACTTTCCAAAAATTATATATTTTCTTGATAGTAATTATGCAAGGAGGTAACTTTTATTGTAAATGAATGCATCACTCTGATTTCTTTTTTATGTGGTTAGAAGATTCTTGGTATAGTATTTAAGAGTATCCTTTTGGCCGAGTATACACCTTAGAAAAATAGTTTGGCTTTCAGATGGAAGGAAAGTTGGACGTATGTGGTTGTTCTAACACTGGCAGTTTGATATTCTATGTACAATGTAGGAAGGAAAAATGGTTACCTTTGCTCTTATGTAGGTGAGACTCTGGGCTGTCAATGGACTGTGATTTGGCAACTCCTATTTTATAGCATTTACTTGAGAAAATAGAATTTTCCCCAAAGTTGTTTTTTTTATTGTCAGTAATTGTTGATGTAAACTAAAGTCAGACCAGTATATTTCCGATATTCTTAATTTCATTTAAATACCTTTGAATTAGAGGCAAGGGTTGATGTTCTCAATTTTTTGAATGAAATGTGTGCTATAGATAAAGTTATATGTGAAGGGACCAAAGAACAAACAAAAATTGAAAATAACTTAGGAAAAGGAAGCTGGTTGAGAAATAAGCGTGGACTGGATTGCTGGATTCTTTGATTTATTTGGCCTCAGAAAATTAGTTCAAAGAAAGTTGAATTGGATACAATACAGCTTTGATGGTTTATATGGGTAGTGTCAATCAAAGATACGAAACAGGAGTAAGTTTTTACTGGTTCACAGTCCAGAGTGAAGATCTTATTGTGGATTGGTCATCATAAGCAAATGCTTTCTGATATTAATATTCCCTTGGAGTAATTAAAATCTAAAATACTACAGCAGTCTGTTTAGTGCTGAAAAAGTCAAGTCTTTACTTAGTAATGTGTAATTGAAGTTGTGAATATTCTGTAAGTTGTGTAATTTTAATTTATGTTAGGGTGTTCATTGACTAAACTCTGGATTGTAAAGCGTCCATAATTTTTCAATATCTGAAAAAGTTTCAGAGATATGTTTATAAATTTGAGGAAAGAGAAATACAAATAGATTAAGTAGAGATAGAATGAAACAAAAGCTCAATAATTAAAATATAGTAAATCATAAAGTTTTGAGACCACCTAATTTCTTTTTTAGGGGAAGCAAAAATTTAAATGCATCCATTTTGTTTTTCGCTTTGTCAGAAGAGGCATCCAGGTGTAATCAGAGTATCACAATTTATTTTTCTGTTATTATGGCTTTGTTTCATTTTGTAAAGAAACATCTTTCCATGTTACAGAATAAAACAACCCATCTCTCATTCAATGAAGTCCTTCTTTCATTATAATTTGCCTTTCATTAGAAATAGACTTCATCTTGATTATCAAATCCTCATGCAAGGTTGTGTGTGAACTCTGCGGAGGGAAGTTCTCTGACCGATCCAGCCTGCGCAACCACATGAAGAACATCCACGGAGAGCGCAAGTACGAATGTGAAACCTGCGGGAAGAAGTTTGCCACTCCGGGAATGCGCAATCACCACATGAACGAGATGCATAACAACACCTACAATTACGAGTGCAGCATCTGTGGGGAACAGTTCAATGTCAGCTTTAAGTATAGGTATGTGATGCTAGTTGTTTATTTGTGATTATTATATTGTCAACAATATATTTTTGTATGTATTTTGTTGTAGATGCTTTTGAGGATATAATGACACTGTTTTTAATTATTATATTGTAAACAAAATATATGTAAGAGTTATTTGAGATGTTTTTGAAGATATAATGCTAATTTCTCTAGAGTGATTACAAGAAAAAATTATCATGGTGAATGATGCTCACAATACCAACTCCACCAGATATCACATGCGCAAGATGCACAACACTCTCCAGTATTCGTGTGATGACTGTGGTCGAACGTTTATCATGAGGAGTGATCTGTATCGTCATGTTAGAGGCGTTCACATGGGAATACGAGACCCAAAGCGTTACCCGTGCAAAGTGTGTGGGAGGTTGTTTCCCAGCATGTATAAGGTAAATCTAAGGTCAAGTAAATACAGTGTAGAGGTTCCTTGTTACATGATGAAAAAGAAGTAGATTTGGTAGATTGAATTTTTCTTTTAATAGAAGAAAGTAGTAGTTGTCCACATTGAGCTTTGATAATTTTGTGGAATTAGTCAAAATTTTTAGGAGTAGCCATACATTTATATCTGTTACTGAGACCTCATTTTTTCAGTTTATTTAACTGTATTGTTATATTTCTAGTTGTTAACATTTATTAAAGGAAGCTGATTGTACAGAGTTTCTAATTGCTGAGAATTCTAATAAAAAGATGATCTTACTCAAGTTAGCTCTTCCATTTAATGATTTTTCTTGATTCTGTTCTTATTGATTTTCTATTCCGTTTTTTGTGAAACTGACCTTTTCATATACATTCATTTATTTATTTTCATTTTAATTTTTTTATTTGTATTCATTTATTTATTTATTGACCTTTTCATTTATTCATTCATTTATTTTCATTTTCATATTTGTATTTGTATTCATTTATTTATTATTATTATTATTATTATTATTATATTATATTATTTTATTATTATTATTATTATTATTATTATTATTATTATTATTATTATTATTATTATTATTATTATTATTATTATTATTATTATTATTATTATTATTATTATTATTTTTATAGGTCAAGAGGCACATGAGCAGTCATGGATACTTGTCTTCAAAGGCGACAAAACATCTAGAGCAGCATGTTCCTGAGATTGATCCAACGACCAATGCACTGAGGACTAGTGACTCTGCTGCGGCATCGGTGCTAGCAGATGCCGTGGCAGAGAACAGTGATGGCACGAGTATTGATGTGCACCAGCTGCAAGTACCTGAAATTTATGCGGTTAGTTTACCTTTTGTTTTATTTTATTTTATTTTATTGCTTTACTGGTAAGATCTTTGTCTGTGTGATGGACAGGGTTTGGATATTTATGGATTCATTTTCTAAAGGTAGTTATAGAGGATAAGAGTTATTTCAGGAATATCCCCTTGAGATTTAAATGTTTAACCTGATAGATTTTGATGGAATAAGAAGTTTAATTATTTAATGATGAAACTTCCTGCAGGCACCTCACATAACAACATTAACACCGGAAATCCTGCAAGGAGGACCAGACATGGTGGAAGCTGAGACGATGGTGGTTGGCTCCATGTCCAGCATTGTAGTGTCGGCATCCTCAATATCAGACAGCATCACAGCAGAGCTACAGCACCCTCTGCACGATCACCAGCAGACGCGCCACGACCACCATCAGCAGGACCAGCACCAGCAGCATCAACAGCAGCAGCAGGACCAGCAGTTCCGCCGTGGGAATAATGCCGTGATACAGCAGTCCCTGGCGCAGACCATCATGCCCATGCACCAGATGATCGTGATCCAGGATTCTGTCAGTGTGCCAGGTCACACAGACTTTACTGTGGCACCTTCGAGTAGTCAGGTCATCTCTGCTTCTCCAGCTGCCAACCAGGTCATCTCGGTGTCGCAGTCTGGGGGAAATCAAGTAATTTCTGTTCCTCAGTCAGGGAACCAGGTCATCTCCGTCCCACAGTCATCAAATCAGGTCATATCGGTTCAGAGTTCTGGACAAGTTATTTCTATACCTCAGTCTAGTGGACAGGTGATCACAGTGCCGTCTGTAAGCAGCCAAGTAATTTCCGTTCCCTCAGTTAATTCTCAGGTCCTTACTGGGTCACTTCATACCTCACAGGGCGCCTTCACTCTGCCACTAACCCAGCAATCTACACAAATTCATAATCAACAAAAATTACCAACTATTCATTATCAGTATTTTCCATCGTAATGTGTACTATTTCATATGTGATATAATAATATAGAATAATTTTGTCTCTTGCAGTGCACTTTGGGATTTCTGCACAATCTTTAGAATATCTATCATTGAATGGTATTTCATTTCAAAGTAAACCAAGTACCATACATCTTGTTCAACACTTTTCTCAGGCATTCAGAAAGTAACATTCAAGAAATTTGAAAAAAAGTGCAAACTGTAACAGTGAGACAAAGACATAAACAAGGAATAAACGGAACAGTGGTTCAGTTTGTTGCATTAACACAATTAGAAGGCATGTCCTTTCAAAGGTATTTTCAAACCAATGGCCCAAATATGTATTTATTAATTACTTTATTTCTTTAAAATTTCATCTATAACATAAGTATTGATATATTCACTACATTTATGAGAATGTAGTACATAAAGAAGAGCCTATTGAGGTTGCTGTTATAAATGAATTTTTAATCTAATAAACCATTAAATAAAAATGTTTTTGGGCAATTGGACTGAGAATACCTGTGGATGTGCTTACCCTCATTTTAAATAAGGGAACCACCAGGGTGCAGTTGGAATTTGTGCAGCCGAGGACCAAAGGGAGTTTGAAACCTGCTCCTCGTCCTAAGTTAAGAAGGGGTTCCAATTTCGGTTATGGTATCTCGTGACCAAATCCAAAGTTCTTTCAAAGAAGGCACCGTCTCAGCCCTTGTGAGGGAGTTCATGACGTAAAACTGGATCACACATATTGTATATTTTGATATGTTATGACAGTTATTGTTGAATTATTTTTTGTATAAAGTATTATGAATGAATAAATATGTACATTTATATAAGTACTTTCATTCTTATGTAATATAAGATCTAGAATTACATTTAATATCTTCAGTGTGTAAATGTTTCACTGGTATAATTAGTTAGGCTTCTTTAGTACTGGGGTTTGATAGTATCACAGTGAGTATCAGATTTTCCTATAAATGCAGATAGAGGAAAATGCACAGTCCCAAGATTTGGTTTTAAAGTTGAGAAAACTTTGATAACAAGACTTGTTTCTTATATTTTTAGGGGTAAATACTTTTGCTTCTTATCACATCTTTGGGCGAGGCAGTTACATGGGCATCACTTCAGATTTTCTTGCATGGGGGAAAGAGGATGAGTATTGTCCAAGGGGTCCCTCTCCTTCCATCCTTACTGTGGATCCTATAGGTGAGCCTGACCCATCTTAAAGGCATTCTGAAACTAAACGAGATCTGTTGTAGAGTCTGATATTCTGGAATATGGATTTAGCAGAAATCAGGGCTAACTTAAACCAGCACAGTACTGCAACACAATAATCTTTCTAGGGTGTTTCTGTTTTTTTGACTTAAGATCTTGCTTTACTCATATCAAATTTTCTTATAGAATGTAACTTCAATGGACCTTGAGTATGGAATAATTCATGTAAATAAAGATGTGTTATGCAAATTCATGCATGTCAGGGAAAAAGTATCACTAATCCACAAAAATGACTGGTTTATTACTGTATGGTGTATCAACAATATCTAAGCAGAATTTTTCTCTTTACAACAAGTTTCTAGCAATACTGACTGGTATCAAAGACTAACTAAATATCATATACATAACCAAATCATCATTTTGCCATTTTAAAATGCTAACCATTACACATTCAACTGTTTCCTATCTTTTTCTGATATGTATAAGTAGTCATTTGCTGACAATATTAGTCCTATGACAGTACAATGGATACTGTAAGATCCTTAATTTGAAATGGCAGATTTGTTTTTTAAGGTTACTCCATGAAAACCAGGAATGCTTTTTTTCCAGAATGAAGATATTTACTCTATGGTATATACACATGAAATTTAGCTCTCGAAAGTGAAAGAATTTTGAAGTAAAAATACAGAAACAAACAAGCTATTTACTAACAAGAAAAGTGCTTTAATCCTAAAATAAGTAATAAAGAGCAAAATTGCATGGACAGATATTATATACGTTAGAATATCTAAGAACCAGAACACTTTATATCCAACATAGAACACTCTCGGTCAAAGGACACGTAAAGAAATAAGAAGAAAGACAATTGCTTAAAACATAGATGATATATCAGATGGCGCTAGATCCCTAGCCCCGCGTCCAGTACAAATGTATGTAAAAGGAGAGACGAAAGGTTAAACAATAACAGAAAAAAATAACGATCAACGGTGACAAACTCTTGTGTACTAACTACATAACATGCGCGCACACACACACACACACACACACACACGCACACACACACACACACACACACACACACACACGCACACACACACATACACACACACACAGTCACATACACACAATTGCGTGTGAGTGTGTGCTCCCTGTATCCTCGCAATGTTTTAATCATACTTTCCGGTTACTCAGTTACCTCAGTCCTTACGTGAAGTAACACACGAGAACTATGTAAGTACTTGTATAGACCTTGGTAACACATGGGGTCACTGCGCACACACACATCTACAACTATATTTGACTTTCTATATATCTATATTTATATCTATACTTATCTATCTATATGCATATTTTTGTGTACGTGTGTGTGTGCGTTTGTATGAGTGTTTGTGTTGTGTTTGTGTGTGTGTGTGGTGTGTGTGTGTGTGTGTGTGTGTGTGTGTGGTGTGTGTGTGTGTGTGTGTGTGTGTGTGGTGTGTGTGTGTGTGTGTGCGTGCGTGCGCGCGCGCGCGAGCGTGTGTGCGTGCGCGAGCGTGTGTGTGTGCGTGCGCGCACACCACACACATTAGTTTTTCAATACTAATAGTTCTGTTGCGGAATGTAGTGTTCAAGTACGAATTATTTGACCTTTTCTGCTTCTAAAAATCTTTTTTTTCGAGGAATTTACTGATTAGTTTTTAAATATTTTACTCATTCTTTTTTCATTTCTACACAAGTCATCTGATACAATATTCTTCATCACAGAAATGGTACATAATTTATCAGACAATTCAATCAGCTACCAACAAACAAGGATTTTATTTTAATTTATTCTGGCTGTATCTTTTCTTGTTGCCAAAAGGACTTTATTATCATTATTATTATTTTTGCGTTTTATCGGCACTAAAAATAAACTTTTAAATTCATGTTTCGCTAAAAAAAGACTTAATTGATCAGTTTGTTAATAGAATTGTGAGAGCTCGAACCAATGAATATTCATGTATACAGACATGCATATACTCTGAAATAAATACATATCTGTCAGTCTAGACAACATATTAGCGATAGTCATATAGACGGATATGCATTTATTTATGTATATATGAATGTACGCAAATGTGAATATTCACTGGATCGGAACTCGCACATTTTTAACAGGGGAAAGGCTAGATCAGTAGCAACTCGAGGAGGTGTCATGGCGTCTGCTTTGATGCTTGTTCGGTGAAAATATAACTATTGAAATCATCATTTTCCATAATTTTTGAAAATTGAAGAGACCAAAATGAACGACCGTATTCACAAAGCATCCATAACTTTTGTGACGTCATCAAAATAAACCCCATGTGTGTGTGTTTTTGTTTTTTTTATTTATTTTATTTATTATTTATTTTTTAATAGAATCGGAATCCATGACACCTCCTCGAGTTGCTACTGATCTAGCCCTCCCCATTTTTTTTTAACAGACTGGCCGAATGTTTCATAACCTTTCTTAAGTTGTTGAATATGCCGAGTAAAGGATTTATTACTGAAGGATTTGTCAATAAATAATAATTGGTTTTAACCTTTTTTCGGCGTTTCACTAAGTACTGGGATCACTGATTGGTGTTATTTTCACTCTTATTGGCATTTAGGAATATCACTTTAATTCAGTTTGCCATTGATGATTCCACAAAACCGCTAGACTTGACTTTCAAACTCGCTAGACTGGACTTTAAAAACTGCTAGACTGGACTTTAATAAACGCTAGACTGGAGTTTAATAAAAGAGAATAATGAGAATGAGAATGAAAAATTTTCCCGCCAAAAAAGACCTTAAAAATCGCCAAATTTAAACATAATAGTCGCTAGAATGATAACACTGCTTTATTTTTATTTATCTTTTTTTTTGTGGTGAGGAATGGTTATGTACACACAACAAATTACGTTATATATATTATGTCACAAAGAGGATGCCAAGAGCTAAAAAAAAAAAAAAAAAAAAAAAAACATCAGTTTAGCATTTATAAAGAGTTTTAATACTTGAAACAATTACAAGTAATTTATCTTACGTTATAGTTCTATAATATATTTAGGAATAAAGCAAGATCTTTCAAAATAAAGCTGTATTTTAGTAGCGTTCTCATTTATTCGGATTATGTATCATCACGCCCTGTATTCGTATCATAAACCTGAATCAATAGCATTCAACACCTTTCAAAAACGATTAAATAATTGTTGCTCTTTCTTGTCGTTTCCAAACCGAAAACGAACACACGAACACATACAAATAAAATAAAATAAAAGAAAAGAAAAAAATGAAAAGAAAAGGAGAGAGCAAGTCAAAAGTTGAAAAAACAACAACTAAAGGAACGGTATTGTGAGCGGAGTTTCGTTGCCAATGATACTGTTAGTAATGCGAAACATCGACCATTAGTTTTGTTATACCAATAAGTTCTTCCATAACAACCTCAACATTTTCATAACATACAAAGTAAAAAAGTTACGTTGTATTTCTTAACTGTACTGATTCAGAAATAAAAAAAGTCAATAATATCATTCTACTATATTCATTATAATGGTTGATCGTTAAAACATAAATATGCTAAACATTAAAGGTTATATAGGCCTATCATCATTAAAATGAAACTCTAAGCACAAAACAAAAAGAAAATTATACCTAAAAGGGCATTTTCTTTACGTTAGGTCTCTTCAACTATGATATTAACGAAGGTCAGAAATATTCCATCACAGGCGGTTCTCAAAATGATTTTCAAAAGGAAAATTCAAAGCAAAAGCCGTTGAAAGTTGACAAATCTTCATAGAGATTTGCGAATTATATTTTTTCTGTGTATTTTTTTTTCATTGCATATTAAGTCTTTGACGTCAAGCTTGGATTATGTTTAGTCGTTTTAGGATCATCTTTGTTGCTATTGCAAATGAAGAAAATAAAGAGAAAAGAAAAAGAATTCGAAAAATACACGAAATAATAGGGAAAAAATGAAGAAATAGAGCAAAGTAACAAAGGAAACAGGAAAAGGAAGAAGAAAAAAAAGGAAAGCGTTGTAATAGTGATGAAAAAAGAAAAAGAAAATAACAACAAGGGATAGATAAAAAACGAGGAAGAAGAAATATGGGGAATAATAACAAGAAATACAGGAAAGAAGATATGGAAGGAAAAAGAAATAATAAAATAGGAAACAACGTGTGTGTTTGTTTGTTTGTATGTTGTGTATGCGTGTGTGTGTGTACGTGTGTATGTATGTTTGTGTATGTGCATGAGTGTATGTGTATGTGTGTGTGTGTGTGTGTTTGTGTATGCTGGGTGTGTGTATGTTTGCAGAGATTCATTTATGTATATATAGGGAGAGAAGTGAGGAAATTGCAAAAACAATATATATATATATATATATAATATATATATATATATATATATATATATATATATATAGCCGCAGACAGTAAACAAAAAACGAAAATTCTTTCGAACAATTCCTTAATTCCCCCCCCCCCAAAAAAAAAGGAAAAAAGGAAAAAACAACAACACACAACCTTTAATAAAGATTCCGAAGTTATTCTCAATGTACCTTTCACCGAAAATCTGTCCGATATATCAATGCAAAGAGGAACGGCGCGGTGCATAAACATGTTAATAGAATGCTA